GGGAATAAAATATGCGTGAATTAATTTGCATAATAGAACCCGATTGGTTACAAAGCTGTGTTTGTTGAAGTGGAGACGGGAGCCCCTGAGCTCCCTCCGCAAGGGGACATTGCACATGCAGGATGGAGTTTTGAGTTCTGGTGTGGGCCTTGGTAATATTCTTAATGTAATGATAACCTGTCTTTAACTGTAAATTAGCTCCCTGGTAATGAAAAGAACAGGTCAGCCTGTCTGATCCCTCCAGCTCTGTGGGGAGGAGAAAGCTGAAAAACCAAAGCTGCTTGCTTTCTGCTAAGCACTTTCGTCTTCTTTCTCTACCCGATAACAATTTCCAGCAGGAGTCCAAATATACTTAAACACCCGTATATGTCATTTTCTTTTACCGAGACAAAAGCAGGCGCAGCAAGAGAGTTTTATGTTCAAGGCGCAATAGCTTATGACGGGCTATCTGCTCTCAAGATAGAGGGGCGAGCCTTCCACTTAGAACTGGTGGTTTTGCAAATCCATTTTTCTGTCATGTTATTACTCCTATGACTTTCAACAACATTTATTTTTCCTTCCAAGCAATATACTCCCATCATAAAATAAAGTCTTCCTATATGTTTTAGCAGAACCCCAATGCTTAGACATCCTGGCATATTGCTATAAAGTGCTCTAATGGGAGGATTGTTAAGAACTGCCTTAGGGATCTTTTTAGAACCAATTAGAACATGGATATATTTCCCTGATTATTACCAACGTCAAGGTCTTCTTAGGAGGGCATATGTTCATACTAATGTTCATATGTGATCCCTGCAAACTCCCCACCATTGAACACATCAATTGAATCTGTACATTTTAGAAGCATGTGTTTACAAAAAAGAAACTCCCTGAACACATGTTTTTTAACCTATACATATAGAAATTTTGAAACAGGAGTTTATAAATAAAACAAACAGATTAACTTTCATAGGACCCAGTGAAACTGTTGTTGGCAGACAGATGTCATTGCCTCCTGCTCGCCTTCACTTTGGTCGTTCCTATAAAATGCTTTCTCTTCCTCTCTTGGGTTTTGGTTTTAACATTGGAGTCACAGTATGACTGCCTCTGCCCCAGTGCCACCAAAACTTAAATTGTTATCATCAGAAGACTAGCGTGCATATAATGGGGTAAGTGTCTGTAGGCGATCTGCACCTTTCTGTTAGAGATGTTCGAGATGCAGTCACACAGGATTGTAGGAGATAAGAATGCAAGTCTTAGAACAAACACCCAGGGTTCGTATCCCAGTTCCTCCACTTGCTAGTTCTGTAACCATGGCAAGTTAATCTTGCTATGCCTCAGAACTACTTACCTGTAAAATGGGAATCACAATAATATGGCTTCATATGGTTGTTGTGAAAACTTAATGACTCAACTCATCAGAAGTACTTAGAAGAATGTTGGGCAGATAATAACACTGGACAAATGTTAACTGTTATTAATATTTTCATCATAGTCATGTTATTCATGTACTCCTTGTTCTGAAGTTGGTGTACTGCAGGTGGCTTCTAGGTTACTGTTTTTATCACAGTGTCTATATCATTTTCTTATAAACTTTAGATGTAAACAAGTGGGTGGCAAGACGTGGCATTGGTCACTAGTTAAGAACATGGACTCTGTAGCCAGATGGCATGGCTTCAAATACCAGCTCTGCCATTTATCAGAATCATAACCTTACATAAGCTGCTTAATTCATGTGGGTCTCAGTTTTGTTATCCTTTAAAATAATGATATTCACAGTACCTATTCATGAGTTTATTCCAGAAATTCATAGATGAATGAATTATTATAGTTAAAGTTTCTAGAACAATGGCCAGAAAAAGCTTTTACTAAGTAAAGTTTCATTCTGAAAGTGGTAAATAAAACAAATCATGTCTGAAAATTCATGTTATACATATTTGAGATAATTCATTAAAATAACTTTATACATTACATTTAGTCATATAAGCGCTTACAAATAATGGGTCTGATGAATTACTTTTAAAAGCAAGTCAATTTTGCTATTCTTTCCAACAAAAGAAGATAGATAATTTCATTTTTTCAACAAAAGGTTTGCTGTTTATTGGTCATGTGGAAACTTAAATTCATTAGTATCAGGCTAGAATGTTGTTTTTATAAAAGAAGAAAAAAGTTGTCATCTAGTTTCAACACTTTCACTGTCAGAAATAATTGTGCTGTACAGCAAAATGGCAGCCAGAAGAAAGAGGTGCAGAAATATAACTTTAATTAAACCCTTCCTTTCAAATACACTTCACAGTTTATATGCAAGAATAATTTATCACAGTGTGAATGAACACTTAATATTTGGCATGGTGTAAAATGGGCAGGGAACTCATCACACCACATGCTCTTTCCTTCTATTTCTTCTACTTGAGATTCTATGGCGGCAGTATCAAGTTGGAACTTGAACTGTATGGTTCAAATCATGTGTTAAACTTTTATTGATGGCCTGTTTTGAAAAGCTCAGGGACTGGACATACAATCGTGAATAAGATATAATCCCAACCATTAAGATGCATCCAGTCTTGTTGGGAGAAAATGTGTGAAGCAGAGGAAGTGCCCCACAATCTCTCCCTGGAGCTCCAACCAGGAATATGAAACTGGAAGCCATTTGTGGAAAATGTCACCCAGTGGCTTCATTTTACAGAGAATGCACCAGGAGGGGAGCGGGTGGCATCCCATGACAAGTTCGTGGCAGATCCCCAACTGCATAGCCAGCTACCTGGCATAAGCCCGGGGACCTTCCTTTGCGGCACGTTGCCTCATTTTAGGATCCGGCCCCTCCCAGGTCCTTCTCTGTGTTTGTCCCACAGTCATTTTGGCTGGCAAGAAACAGCCCTTGAATTCACATGCCTGAGTCTGAGGGTGGAGCTATTAAACGGCGACACTACCTTTTCATTTTTGTCTTTCTTCCCAGCCTTTTACATACCTGGAAGTGTTCAGTCTACAACAAATATTGAACTCCCTATTCCTTGAAAGGGGACAAACAGTACATCATAGAGTGGTACTGGGGACAGTGATGGACACCTGAAATTAAGTGCATGTCTGTGGCCTCCCCAGATACCATTTTGCCATATAACAAATGAAGCAGAAACACTTGGGTTGGTGAAATCAAAGGCTATCAGAAGGAAAGGGGTGGAATTAAAATTCCACCCAATTCCCTGATTTTCTAGACTACTAAGGCCAGATGGCTGTGGTACGTCCATGCAACTCTTATTCCTCCATTCCTTTCTTGGAGAAACCCCCTCACCACCCTGTCAGGGGCATCTCCATCTGCAAGGCAAGAGAGCCACCCTCTGCTGAGTGACACCTGCAGGCTTGGATTGTGGCACTCTAGGAAGAAAGAAAGAGACCCCATGTGTGCCCTGTCCCTACTCTGTGTTCAGCACTATGTGTGTGCAGCAATTCTTCACATCCCTGTTGCTCCAATGTGACCATATTGGAGGCTCAGAGTGCCTGAATGACATGCCCGAGGTCACCCACATTGTAGAATATGGAAGTGATATTCCAGTCCAGGTCCATCTGATCACCAAATATAGGTACATTCCACTGTGCCCCATCTATGCTCCCTTTTTCTGTTCCCCTCTTCCCCCTACCACTTCATCTAAACCAGACAGCTAAGAATTAGATGGTGGTTTTTATTCCTAGAATTGTCAGGAAGCTCACTGATTTCATTTAGACCCACCAGTGCTGAAATGAAGTGTGATTTCAACATCAATGTGTCATCCTTCAGGCCCAGCCATTGTCTGTGGTCCCCTCATGTTGGTGGTGGACATAGTGATGGGGATCGTCACTATGAGGTGGGAGCTGGGGCTCCAGCTGGATTCTGGGGGGCACTCCAAGCAGAGAGGATGATTGTCTAGAAAAAGGGTGGAGAGCTGGCAAGGGAACAGGCAAGGGAAGTTCCATAGGGGAGAATTAAGTTTCCAGCTTCAGAAAGACTAAGTCCAGTGAAGAAGTCCAGGAACCTGAGTCAGTTGAAAGACTGGAGAGAAGAACCAGAATACTGGAGAGAGGACTGGAGTGACCGCAGAGCAGAAGGGTTGGCACTTATCCTAACTGTTGTTGAGTAGCTGTGTCGTGGGTGGGTGCTAGGAACAAGACCTTTGGACCAGCTGGTAGGACGTGCTGTTTTATTTTGCTTCTCCTGGTTGGAGAGAACTTGTAAAGTTATCTTTTGCTGGTTAAGGAATGAGCTTCAGCTTCTGGACCTTTAACCAGACAAGAGCTAATCTTGCTCATTGAATTTATACTATAACCTTGATTCACCAATGAAAGCTTGATCAATTGTTTCACTGACAAATGTTTAGTGACCGTCCGTGGTTTCTCAGGTCCACCCAGACCTCTCTTCTCTAGCAGGGATCAGTGCTGCCTTCCTCCTTCATTATGCCATCCAGTCATGTCAGTCTTAACGTCTCCACTCCGTCATCTCCATCCTCAGTCCCTGTCAACTAGATGCTCCTCTCCTGGACTCCCATAACGCCCTAAATTTCTGTATTACAAAACATACCCAAGCAGAATCATGATCATGAGTAATAACACATTAATCTGGAGTGCTTGCTGTATAGATTGTTCTCAGCAATTTAGAGGCATTATTCATTTAATCCCTCTGTGGACCTGGGAGCACAAGTCTCTTTCCCAGTTCATAAATGAGCAGGCTGAGCTCAAAGAAGTTAGTTAGCTTACCCAAACCCCACAGCCAGCAACAGCTGGAACTGACGCTCAGACCTAGGCAGCTGGATTCCACAGCACACACATTTAAGCCTCAGGTGGACCTAGAGAGGCTTCTTATGTGTGTGTTTATCCCACTCACCACGTGGTGAGCTGGGAGAGGGCAGGGACTCATTTTTACTCATGCCTGCCTCCTCAGTACCCAGAACAGGGCATGCACGTGGTTCAATATGCATAGTGTTTACAGAATGGAATTGAAATGAAGTGCAGATGGAGTCTGCAGCTAATCTGACCTTTCTTTCTGCCTGCAGAAGCCGACTGGGAAAGTGGGTGATGTGCTCAGCGTGCAGAGGCATTCCATTGCAAGAGAGGCCTGCGTGACGAGTCGGGGAGGTCACCATCAGCCAGGCTGCCACACGGTTTCTGGAAGGGGTGACAGCCACCTTCTCCTGTGCCTAAGATAACCAAACAATGAAGGAGAACTACTGTTTCCAAGCTGCCCTGGTGTGCCTGAGCGTGCTGTGCCACAGCCAGGCCTTCCCCACAGAGCGGCGGAGCCACCTGCGACCCTCGTTCCACGGGCACCACGAGAAGGGCAAGGAGGGGCAGGTGCTGCAGCGCTCCAAGAGAGGCTGGGTCTGGAACCAGTTCTTTGTGATAGAGGAGTACACCGGGCCTGACCCCGTGCTCGTAGGCAGGGTAAGGCTGCTGCTGCTCAGTATTTATTTCTCTCCCTGTCGATCCCATTGTAGGGTGTGGTCAACAAGGATCTAGGCAGGAAGACACTGATGGTATGGGCAGGCAGTGAGAACCATGGAATTATTGTTCATACATCTTTCCAGCCTTTTTTTTCAATTCATAGACTTATTCATGTTAAGAACACTTCTGTTTTCCACTTAATATTGTACCATAAAAACTCCATTTTTAATGGCTACACACTAGTCTACCAAATTGAAGCACTGTGTATTTAACATTCCTCTCTGGGGCATTATCCTGACCACATCCTGACCCCAAGGTGGATGCCCCTTCCTTTGTGCCCTCATAACGCTCTGTACTGTTTTTATCAGCCCTTTCCTTTTTGTATTACGCATTGTCTGCTGATTCCTCTGTCTTTTCACTGGACCCTAAGCTACTTGCCTTCAAGAACAGTGTCATCTTTTGTCCCCAGATTCCAGCTTTGAAGAAGCTAATGTAAATATTTGATGAAATGAATGATGTGCCATAAGAATAGTGGGGGTTTATCTGCTTTGGCTTAGAGATGCAAAACTCAGTTGGGATGACCGGAGGGTCCTAGCGCTACTCAGATTCTGCATTCTTTGTGTAACCTTCTCCCATCCCTCCACCCCCAACACACAAAAGTGCAAGAGTAGAAAAGAGAATGCAAAATATGTTTACACAACTGAATGCCTGCTATCACTTCATGGTAAAACGCAGCCATCTTTCAGAGGATTGTGACCTAATCTGCAAAGAGATAGATGTTCAGATATATAACAGAAAGCCTTGTATGCACATGTCCAGAGCTAGGCAAATGGTAAACTAGGATAAAATAGTCCCTAACCTCAGAATTCAAAGACGCGTGGAAAAGACACTTACTTAAGGACATTTCTTTTTAAGAAGCAAAATGAGGAGTAAGATAACGAGCAAATTCAACAGAAGTGATTATGAATTGACACAGTAATGTTTGGGAGGGAGGAAGGCAGGTTTCATGGAGAACATGGTACTAGCTTGCGACCTGGAAGAGGAGTCGGAGGTATCCAGCAGGGTGGAAGGAACAGGAGCAGAGTCGAGGGGTGCTAATTTCCGAGCCTTATCGGGTCCAGTGATTTTATCTTCATTATCCCTTACATGAAACAGCAATCCATGTTTACATAATTTATACATTTGGAGGAGGCTCATATCAACATCTCAATAATACTGTATTGTTCAGGGTTGGGAATGTCTTTTTAAAGAGACATACCAAAGGGATTTTTATTCATTTACACCCCAAAATGGAAGGACTATACCCAAAATAGAAATAGACTCGGGAAATGGGAACACAGGGAAATTATTGGCATGTTGAATTTCCTGCACTGAGGACATGGGCTTTGTGCCCAGAGAGGAAGAAGAGACTTCAGTCAAGGCCATGGCTGGACAGCTTAAGCAATGTGGAGAGGTGTGCATGAATTGTCCTGAGAAAATACAACCTTTACCTCTGGATCTTTCTCAATGGGGAGCCATGTGTTGCTGTGGGGGAGCAAACAGGTGCCATGCCTACTGAAAGATGCATAGGGAAAAGCAGGGAGAAAAGGAAGGAGTGATCTTTACTGTCTAGGTACATGAGAATGAGTCTGATGTCAGACTGGATGGGGAAAAGGAAAACAGTGGCTGGGCCCTGCGGCTCTTCCTTTTGAGATAATGTGGGTATATAGTTACCCATGAATAAGGGGAATAGACGCCTAACTTCTTCCCTAATACCCTTTGACTTGGCAACATTCAAGATTGAGTGGTTTAACATGCTCTGAAAAAGTCGAATTTGGCAAACCGCAGACTGAGATTTCTTGCAGGAAACACAGTCTGTGTCATGCTGTGCTGTGCAGACGGGGGGGCCATCGGTCTTCGGGGTTAGGAATCGCTGCGTACGTCCTAGCAACTGGGTCCCTGGATAGCTTTGAATGACTTCCCAAACTACTTTCTGCGTTGAACCTAATAAATATTGTTGTATAGGTCCTCTTTGTTGGAGAGGGAAAAAGAAGGAATTTATATCTGACTTTCACATCTGAGAACACCATAGAAAAAAATAACAAGCAGGATATTTTTAATTTTTTTTGGTGATTTGATCACGAAACAGTATGTTTAACTCAGGAAACATGCCAAACTCATATGTAATATATGAAGGCCCCCCAGAAACATTCCTTGTCTAAGTGCTCCCTTTCAAGTAAGCATTTCATTTATTTTCTTTGTTCTTCATTCACAAGGCTGAGCCCCTAACTTTTGCCAGGTCAGAGGCAGAGAAAACAAACAAATGCAAACCACTGTTGGGCGGTTGGCAGAAGAGCCAAGGGAATGGGGTCAGGGTTCCTGCCCTCAAGTGGAAACTCACACTAAGATAGAGACAGTTCAGTTCCTCCTTTGGAGGCCACCAAATAGCTTCCTAATTTGCTCACAAACTGCCTTACTCATGAGCAAAGTACTAGCCATACTTTCAGGACAACACATAGCTTGTTTTGAATGATATGTTCTGAAGGGAAGTATTCTTTTAAAAAAGATTTTCTTGAAAAACACTGTGGAATAAAATCTGAATGGTGTTTGTCATTTGTACCTACAGGTACCCCTCTGAGTTGAAATATGCAGTGGTTTCACCAAGGCACTGCAAATCAGTTAGATAATCTTTTGGAAATTGAAACAACACGAAAAATGTTTTAAAAGCAGGGTGTTCAATCTTGCTTTGTGATTCTGGGCAAGCTTTGTAGGCCTTAGCTTCATAATAATAATAATAACAATATTAAAATGATATTACTAATTAATTAATCTTAAAATGGCATTGATAATAATAAGTATTCTTATTTGTTATTGTTATTGGTAATGCAAGTATTAAGTATTGTTATTATCAATGCCATTTGAATACAGGGTTTTAGTTTATACTGAGTTTTCTTATGCAGTAGGTAAAACCCAGGGCTTTTTAGCCACTTGGCTACTCTCGCAGCCCATGAGCATGGTGAAGGTGATACTCACCTCTTCCCACAAAAGGCAGAACAAGGACAGGGGAGCTCTGATTAAGATGGGAGGGGCAAAAGTTGAGATTGGACAATAGAGGGTGAGGAATTTATTTGTACAGGAAAATCAGACATGGTCTTGGGGGTGACCACACACAGAACAGAGGCAAGGCCGAAAGGCGTGGGATGGATGATTAGGAGACCAGGATGATTTCCTGGCCCTGCCAAGTGTGGATTTAAGCAAATGACATCATTTCTGTGACTTGGTCAAAGGAGGGGAAACACCTAAAGACATTGTCTGAGGAGCTGTAAATATATCAACCCACCCCACCTACCCCATGCTTATGATCAGAATGGGAGCTTCCTCCAGGCAGGCCACATCCTCAGATCTTCATACCCTGTATGCTACACAGCAGGTCTTCTGGAAAGGTCTCAGCAATAAATTGTTTGTATAACAAAAGCCTGGAAACAACCTTAGTGTCCTTTGGAAGGTGACTGGTAAAGGTAATGACAGTAACTTCCATGCAGGGGATGAGGTCCGTCCATATTCTCCGGAGTAGAAGGGCCACCTGAATTTATTGTTATAGGAATCAGGTGAACACTGGTGTCTGCACTGTGCCATGTTATTGCATAACAATAAACTAAGGCATTTATGTATCTGTGTAGATATTCTTGCATGTGCATAGAATAGAGGATTCACAGGAGACTGGTGAGGGTGTTGTATGTCTCAGCAGGAAAATGAAGGAATGTGAATCAGGAGTAGATGGCTTATTTATCACATAAATGGTACTTTTTTATAATATGTGTATCTTTCAGAATAATTATTAATATATATGCATATGTTTGTATATTTTGTACCTATGTATATGTGTGGGGAGATGGGGAGGGAGAGCGTGAATCTTAGAATTCACAAAAATTCAGGGTTCAGGTTTGAATCCTGATTTTACTGCTCCCAGCTGTGTGACCTCAGCCAAGGCAATTATCTTCCTTAAGATTCCATTTCTCCATTTGTAAAATGGTGTGAAAAATGTCTCCCTCGTGTGTGTGTGTGTGTGTGTGTGTGTGTGTGTGTGTGTGTGTGTGTGTGTGTATACAGTGTACTATAAAAAACAGCTTGCAAGTGAGTCTACTTCCCCAATGCATCCCTCGTGGAATTAACAAGTCTCAACTTCTCTCCTCCAGCTTCATTCTGATATTGACTCTGGTGATGGAAACATTAAATACATTCTCTCAGGTGAAGGAGCTGGAACCATTTTTGTGATTGATGACAAATCAGGGAACATTCATGCCACCAAGACATTGGACCGAGAGGAGAGAGCCCAGTACACGCTGATGGCTCAGGCGGTGGACAGGGACACCAACCGGCCTCTGGAGCCGCCGTCAGAGTTCATTGTCAAGGTCCAGGACATTAACGACAACCCTCCTGAGTTCCTGCACGAGACCTATCATGCCAATGTGCCCGAGAGGTCCAACGTGGGTATGTACCGTAGGAGAGACATGCTTTGTCTACAGCCTGGTGTCTCTGTGGTGCCTGGTGGGTGGGCTGGTGCCTGTTCTCTCCAGTCAAGATATAGACCTTATGCTATATTTTTTCTGGCAAAATAACAAAAAAAAATTGTTTCAAATATTAAAATGGACCTGGGGTTTTAAAATCTAAACTTACAAAACATGAGGAAGGTATGGAGGTATGGCAAGTCCGTGATTGAATCCAGGTTATCCCAGCTCTGAAGCTTGTTAGCTGTGTGACTGGGAGCCAGTATGTCTGATTGTTGAGCCTTAATTCTCTCCTCTGTGAAATGGGAATAACAATTTCTAGTCTTGCAGGATTAGAGGTAATATACACTCAGTCACTAGTGCCTGATGACATTCGATAAGTAATAGCAGTGGCAATGTTCATTGCATGTAGGGGTCATGCTAATTGATTTACATGTACTATTACATTTTATTTTTGCAATGATTCATCTTTGCAATGAGGTCCTATTTGACGTATCTTGCAGATGGGAAATCCAAGGTAGAAACAGTTTAACTAATTTATCCAAGGTTCTCTGAACTATTAAGTGAATCCATAATATACATTTAACTATGACACAATGTCACCATCTATTAGAATAATTCAGAAGTAGGAATGTCATCATGCATAAAGACACATTGTCCTGTTAATAATTCTCTGAAGGATTTCCTCAACTAGCCACCTTCTCCTGTAAATAACTTTGGTTTGGTTTTATAAAATGCATCTGTTGGCATCTTTTGAAATATATACCTCAAGAGTTGTCTTTCAGACAGTGACCGGTGCTTTTCTGCTCAGACAGTGAGTCCGGTTTCATGAATCAGGGATTTAGAGCTCGAATGAATTTAAGGATCATCAGGGACAGACTGCCCATTTTACAGATGAGAAAACCAAGCACCAAGAATTGAAATCAACCTGCTCAAGAAAGTTAAATGCAGAAGTGACCCTAGAGCCTTAAGCCCCTTCCACTTTGTGCCTAGAACCTGTGATGCTAAAAACATAGTCTCCTTCTCTTCCTCCAGGTAAAGTCAAACTCTACCCGTACTTTAGGAAGGCCAGTCCGAGCTGTTTCTTGCCTTCTTTTGCCTTTGTCCTGATCAGTCTGTTAGTGCCTTGGCATTTGCCTGGGGATTTAAGTGAGAAACAGCAGACATCACATGAATCACTGCACAGAGGACAGTAGTGTCAGCATCTGAGCCAGGGGAAAAGGCCAGTCATCACAAAGGGTACTCCAGGGGAATTTTCAGTCCCCACCTTTGGGGCTCCCCGATGCTTAGGGATCACAGCACAACTTGCCATCATGGCTTGTGAGCATAAAGCCTGCTGTCCGAAAGCACTGGGTTGGAAGCCCAGCCATGTCGTTGACAAGCCAGGTGAACCTGGACAGCTGATTACAACTGTTCAGTTTTCATTTTGTCATCTATAAAATTAGTGTCGCGACCCTTCAGGGGCCTAGGCAACACGCCCAAGGTCTTGATTCTTCTCTAGGCTTTATTGTCTAATCTCTCGCAGCGGTTACAGCAGTTGTCGGGAAGCTCCTCCTCCCTCCCGGCGGGCTCCCTTATATTCAGTCACCCAACCAATCCGGGACAGTATCATGCGTGACCTTTAAGCGGATAGGTGTCACGCACCACTCTAAGCGGGCAGCACGAGCTGTGCACGGGTACGGAAGTCTGCTGGGCCAATCCCCAACAGGGAAGAGGGGAAAGGGTGGTGAGCAGGAAGCAGGCACCATCTTTAGGGCGTTGTCCAGCTAGAGTGGGGCTCAGCCTCGGCCGTAGGCTGGGCCCCCACAATTAGGATAATGTAAACTATGCTGAAGGTTATGTAATGTAACGTAAGTGTAAAATACAAAGCATTGTAAGGGACTTAGTGGAATTCTAGAAGCACATTAAGCATCAAAAACAATAATTTACTAGCTGTACAATGATGGACAGAGAATGGAGCTCATTCTCCTTTATAAATCTCTACTTCCTAACATGGTGCCTGGTTTTACGGGCAGAGCTCAGGAAAAGTGGTTTGCGTGAAACAGTAAATTACAGAGAAGTAATTAGGAAAAAAGTCAGATTTCTTTTTATACCAGGTGAAAATCATGGACAACCATGTAAAGAAAGGTTTTCAGAGGCTGTGTAAACGGGCTCCTTTGCCTCCCACCCAGGACCTTGCCCCTCTGCTGAAAATGTCGTGGGAAGAACTTAGGTTTGATTGTTTGCTGGGTGGGGGTTGGACACCTGGCTCTGGCAATAACCCACTTTGCAAAACAGATTTGCAAAACTTTATACCTCTCACAACCTGTTTCCCACAAATACAATGAATGTAAAATATGCCAAGCAGAGGGACACTGGCAGAATACACAGAATATGCCCCAAACAGCGCCAGGCAAAGAGGAATCCAAAAATTGCCAGTTTACTTCCGCCAGCATCTCTCCCCCATTCGGCGCCCAACACTCCTTGCCCTTGGGTATTTGTGACCACCAGGGAACAGAGGATTTTCTCGGAAAGGTAGAATCCCATCTTCCTCCAATTCCCTGGCTTCTTTTAGTTCTGATCCGTGAATTCTCACCTTAGGTCTCACAATATGTCAATGGTGGTTTCTGTTAAATGATTCCCAGACCCGTTAGAGGTGGGAAGATGCAATTTTTATGCCATTAGGACCAACATTCTCTACAATATTTATAGCCATAAATTAATTAAAATGTAGTATTAGCAGCCATTTTATTACATGCAAAGCAACAATAAAATGATATATTTATTGCTCTGCTACAGATGGAGGACTGTACTCTGTCCTTTCCTGAAAAGCAATTCATCATTAATTATCCTTTATTATACTCTTTGGGAAGATTTTTATTTAATTATTTGATTTACTGAACATTTCAATTGCATAAGTCTTAGAATATTTTTGCAATAACGTTCATATCATTTCACCAACTAAGCAGGATGTACTATGAATGTAGAAAGTTCACGTACAAGCTATGGGAATTTTTAAAAAGAAGGAAGGAAAGAAAGAGGGAGGCATTGCAGGAGAGAGGGAGGAGAATTATTTTGCATCTCAAACCCAGAAAATGAGAATATGTTGAATGATCGTGGAGCTTTCCTCAGTTTTTAATTATAAGATGAAATGTTATAAACTAGAATATAATTTGAAAAGCTGAGAAGGTGTTGCTAATGAATTTATTTCACTTTAAAGGAACATCAGTAATCCAGGTGACAGCGTCAGATGCAGATGACCCCACCTATGGAAACAGCGCCAAGTTAGTGTACAGTATCCTGGAAGGACAACCTTACTTTTCAGTGGAAGCACAGACAGGTACCGTGGCATGTCAGTGTAATTTGTGGCACACTGTGAATAGGGAGTCCTAGCCTGCTCACCAAACCTGTTGGAGTCTCAGTTTTCTTGAATATAAATAGGGCTACCTTACAGGATTATTGTGAGGACTAGACACTATACATGTGCCCAGCATATCGTTAGCATCCAGGGAACCATATTTATTACTGCTTCTGCCTGTATGTCACCATGTCACAATAATAACTATCACCTTAAAATGCAAGTTTTATCTTACAATTTTTATCTTAACATTCAACTGTGGGTCCGAATTGAGAAACCAGTAAACTTGAGCACTGATATAAAAACTGGCTGCTCTCAATGCTTGCTTTGAAAACCACTGTGCAGGGTGGTGGGAGCGGTTGTTAACATCCCAGTAACTTTAGGAGGTAGCGCACTCCCAATCTCTTCCACTGTGCTCATAGATTCCCAGTGGGCATCAGCATCCATAAAGAAGATTGCAAATTTCTTACAGAAAACAAATAGCAAACCAAAAGTGTGCCAAATGTAACAACCCAAACCAAAATGTTCCACTTCATTTATGCCAAATATTTTTCTAGGATCATTTTATGAGAGTAAACACTGAAGTCCTGTGAAACTGCTGTGAAATATAACATTATTTCCAAACCCTTTTTTCCACAATGTGCCCCATATATTTGAAAGATATTTACAAATAATCTGCACTTACTGTTATTATTAAGTTTTACCAAATATATATGTGAACATAGATACACAGTCTGCCAATCAGCTATGTTGCCCATTTACCATATGTAACTTCCAGTTACCTTTGCAATCCTTTATTTGTAGCTACTTTGCTTCAGAACACAATCTATGGGGCTACTTGCTATGATTTCATCAAAGTCATTTATATTTAGCCTTTCCAGATTAACTGCTGATAAATGTGTGATTTCACCTAGATTTTTAAGATGTTAGAAAATAGTAGAGCTACCCCATTTGCAATCTTCTTTGTCTTAGAAAATCTTGGTTAAGACCCTACCAAATTATTTGACAGATCATAAAGAAAATGAGGTTCAGTGAGTTCCGGGTTTTGCTGAGAACCATAGAAACATTAAGGGGTAAGAGAGGGACCAGGATTTAAGGCTTCCACAGTGCTCTGTATTTCCAGTATAAATATTACCACACCTACAGGGAGAAAAAGCATACACACATTCCCAAGAGATTTAAGTGAGCACGGTTTCCATGCAAATCATGTGCTACTGTCCAGGGACCTTGTAGAATTCAATCATTAATTTACCATTGTTGTCCTTGATAGGCAAGAGTAGACAGTCATGTTTGTATAGCACTGCATGTATTTTTAACCCACCTGCCTCAATCTTTTAAAATTTGGGATTAACATTTTAATGTAATACATGGAGAAAGTTCTGCTGACAGTGCAAAAGCATGTGTTTAGTCATTGATATCCATGCAATGGGCCCTCACATATTAAGTGTTAGGCCTGAGAATAGTGAGGTTATTACTTGCATTTACAGTGCAACCTATAAACATATAAAATGTAAATGCTATATTAATAAATATGGCCCTGTGCTGGAAAAGACATCTCTGTGATGCTCCATGTATTGGCTACTTTATAATTGTCATGTTGAAGTGACTTTGCTGTGAGGTCAGGGGGTGTTGTATTCTTCGTTGCTTCCCTGTGCCCAGAACATTTCTTGTTTTCATGTTGTTATCACTGAGCATGTGTGATGTTTCCCACTCGCCTGCCCAGGTATCATCAGAACAGCCCTTCCCAACATGGACAGGGAGGCCAAGGAGGAGTACCATGTGGTGATCCAAGCCAAGGACATGGGGGGACACATGGGTGGACTCTCAGGCACAACCAAAGTGACGATCACACTGACTGATGTCAATGACAACCCGCCCAAGTTTCCACAGAGTAAGTACAGGGCTTGGCTTTCACTTCTCCACGGTGCCACAGCCAGTTGTCTCCTCTGTCCCATTCCTGCTCTCTCCACTTCCAAGAAGAAAAATCTGGAAAAACAGAGGCTCTTATGATCACTTTTGCCATAAATGAAAACAAAAACAACTCAACAGCATAAACAACAACAAAAATGTAAGGTGGAGCAGAGGTAGTAGGAGTAAGAAGAGACATGAAAAGTTCCATGACACTGGAAACAGAAAATCTATTTTATGAAGTTAGTAGATACTAGCGATGCAGTCTAGTAATCCATTAACCTTTCTCCATCTCAGTGTGCTCATTTCTAACCTGGACATAGCAGTGCCTGCATCAGGTATCTATTGCTTTGTAACAGACTTTCCAAAATCTTTGTGGCTTTAAACAATAATAATCATGTGTCACGAGTCTGCAATTTGGGCAAAACTTGGAGGAAACACCTTGTCTCTTGTTTCCATAGCATCGAGTAGGGACACCTTGATTAAGGCTGGAGGATCCACTTTCAAGATGTCTCACTCACGTCGTTGGTGAGGTGGTGTGAGCTGTTTGGTCCTCTCCATGTAGACCTCTCCCTGGAGAGGCTTGGACAGGCTTTGAAAATGAAAGCCCCAAGGACATCAAGCAGAAACTGTATGGTCTGTTGTGACTTGGCTTCAGAAATCACATAGCATCTTTCCGCTGTAGTCTTAAGACTGCCGAAATGTAAATGGAGTTCCTGTGGCCCCCACCTTTCAATAGGAGACTGTCAAAGTCATGCTGAAGAAAATGCATGTGGAATGGGAGATACTGTTTTGACCATTTTGGGAAAATACTGTCATCCACAGGACCTAATTAATAAGATGTTATTAGAATGAAATGAGCAAATATAAAATCTTATACCTGGCATAAATTGTCAACAAATTTTAAAAATATTGTTATTGTCTGGGGGACAATGATCCTTCTATAAAATGTATAGGATTGCTGAGGGAAATAAAAGAAAACAGTTTAATAATCCTAATACATCATAATTACAACTGCCATCTTTCTGCAAAAGCCTACATTGTACAGATAAAACTGGATTCCATGAAAGGTGCAGGAAGTTGCCCAAAGAATGTAGCAAAGCCAGAATTTGAACACAAATCGATTTGAGTATGTAGAGGTATAGACCAAGCTGTAGTTTGATGATAATGATGCCATTGCTGCTGCTATGTGTGGGATTCACCAGGAAAGAATCTTCTTCCTTAGATTAGGGAGCAGCTGGAACTACCTGTGAACTTATTGCCAGAGAGGTGGTACTTTTTGCAAATGTGGGTACAAGGAAGGCAGACAAATACAGCCCCAGGAGAGATGAAGGAAGACTGCTTCGCCTGGTCACGCACAAAGTTCAGCATTCCCAATAAGCTTAAGGCTCATAGAGCACTCCACAAAGCTGCATGCTCCATTACCCACACTGTAAAATTGTTTGGTGTTCTAGAAGCAAGAGGCCAAACAGGATTATTAACAGGCAGCCCTTGCTCACACAGAGACTAGTTTCCTAGCCATGAACTCAAATGATATTTGGAGAAAACCAACTCACAGCAGGTTTTTCTAAATTTTTGTTTAAATTGGTAATGGTCTACAGAGACCCTGCCTCCCACTGGTCCCCGAATTTGGAGGTGTGATTAAGTTGAATATGGAGCCAAATGAAAGTATTCAAAGAGAAATCATATATATACATATAGACAGAGTACTGGAACTGATAAAAATCCACGTAGGAGGAAACTAAAATGTGAAGTGGTTAAATGGCTTGCCCGAGACCACTCAGCTTGGAAGTGGCCCAGGCAAGGTTTCCAGCTCTGGCTTCTCTATATTGCTTCACACAGAATGTTTTTAAAATATGAAAATGTTAGCAAGATCATCTCAAATATCACTTCCCTACCAAAACCCTTCCAGTGACTCCCCACTGAATTTAAGCAAAACCTGAAATCTTCTCTGTCTCCTCCAAAGCCCTTTTTTTTCACACTGTGGGGACCCATCCTGCCTCCATTCCTACGTGCCCTTATCTCTTAATGGAAGGCTCCAGTCACAGTGTGTTCTGGCCAGTTCGGATGCCCTCAGTGTGTGCCCGCATCAGGGTTTTTGGCATTTGCTCTTCCCTTGGTCTGTCATTTCTATCCCCAGGTATTCATATGGCTGCTAGTTCCGTCCATTCGAGGAGTTTGCATGCCCTGTGAGGGGTGTCTTCTCTGACCACCCCATTCTAAGCAAACTCTCTCCCTCCTTCTTCTCACTCCACCTACTGGGCACAACATACACATCCACACACACACATAAATGCACGTCTCACACACTCATGTACACACATATTTGTACTCACAAGCACACACTTAACACTTAGATGCACATTAACACACACACACACATTCCCCTCATGCACAGCCATATACTTACACACAGAGCTGCACATGCACCATCTCATTACTGCCCACCCCAACCCTACTTTATTTCTCTCTAGCCATGACATCACAGTCTGGGTACAGTTGCCTTTTGTTCTCTTTAATGTACCCCACTAAGGGGGAGAAACTTGATAGTTCGATTTACTACTGAGTCTCCAGGGACTAGGACAGTGTCTGGCACATATTTGGTTCCCAATAAATATTAAATAAATGTATATAGAAGAGCCACCCTGGGGGACACCTGTCCAGAGAAGGCAGAGCTTGATCACATGATGAAGGAGGTAAAATAGGAGAAGAGTCAAATAGAGAGACAGAAGGGTAAGAACCTTGAAGGATAACTTTTTCTTTTGATTTTAAAATAAATATGGAGCTATAAAAGGGTTTTAAACAGAGAAGAGATTTTTCCTGAGCACCTCGCAGTGCCACACATGAGCCTTGCAATTAATTCATAGACCATCCTGAAGATATGAGAGAAAATCTTGTCTTTTTGAATGTATAAAGACATACATGGTCCTCCGTCATTTCCTGATGGGAAATGTAACTGAGTGTTGTTTTCCTTTCTTGCATGTGGTGGATGACCCCACCACATCACCCTGGACCCCAGTAGTATTTCATCATCTTTGTGGAGCACATTTCTTTGACAAGCAGGCCATGTGGGATCTTCCTCCCATCCATTCACTTATTTCATGTTTTCGATCAATAGAAAGTTCAAGTTCGAGCCCTTTGAGAAATTTATCGGGATTCAGTGAGATCTGAAGTCTTACAGCTGCCAAATAAAAGGGGAAATGCGAACAGGTGTCTCCTTCTTCCAGGCGTGTACCAGATGTCTGTGTCAGAAGCAGCTGTCCCCGGGGAGGAGGTGGGACGAGTGAAGGCAAAGGACCCAGACATCGGAGAAAATGGCTTAGTCACATACAATATCGTTGATGGGGACGGAATGGAGTTGTTTGAAATCACAACGGACTACGAAACACAGGAGGGCGTGGTGAAACTGAAAAAGGTGAGTTTGGGTGAGGAACGAGCTTTATCAGGGATGTGGCTTTGCTCAGCCAGGGTCACACTGCAGGCCGCAGGGAGTTGAAGGTTAAGAAATGAGAATCTGGGCAACTGTGGGCCAACTTGATGTTGCAGTTGAGCTCTGAGCTCTGAGGAGGTATCAGAGCTGTGTTTCTTTCTGGGAGCTAGCGAAGAGGCCGATGATGCCTGCCGGAGACTGCTAGTTAGTTCTTGGAGGATTTGGCACAATTTTCCTATGGAAAGATGGATAGCCAGATAAATCTAGGTTTGGGAGAAGCAGCCCTGAGCATGCATGGAGTCTCCCTTCTAGCTTTTCCAGGCTGCATCTATGTGCATAGGCTGTTGAGAACTTCTTTATCTCAAATGTCCAAGGCCTACTGCATTGCTGGGCCCTCTGTGAAACGTGAACCAATTCTCTGCTTGATTTGGTCTCAAAATTGAACCCAAGAAAAAAGAAGAGTGGGTGTTCTCCATAGTCAAATGGTCACTAAAAATCTTTTCCTTGGGATCAGTTCACTACAAAGGGGAGTCTATTATCTGTCCTTGTTTTATTTTAAAAATCTTGCATTTACTCAATACCAAATATTGGCCAAAGCCTGGACCTCTTACAAGCATTCATTTATTTTTTACAAAAATCATATAGCATAGTTACCTATTGTCCCAATAGGCAATAATACCTTGTTTTAGTTATGAGGAAATTAGTGCTCAGATAGATTAAATAATTTGACCCTCTCATAATTCCATGGCTACCAATTTGCAGACATGGAATTCAAACATAGGGTAAATGTGGGGTATTCTGGAAAATCTCCCTACCTAAGATGCTTTGGAAACAGCTGGACCAGAAAGGGTTTATAAAGGAGAGCCAGACAGGATTCACTTTCAAGGGGAGAATCAGTTCTGGTATGTTCTAAAATGGTTTCCCCCCTGATTTACCACTTGAGAAACCAACACCTCTCTATCATCAAAGTGCATAGAGCATAACCTTTGAATTGGATGACAGGATTACCTTGGTTTTAATCAAGCATTCATTTTCAGCTTGGTTTTGTGGCATGAGAATTAGGCTCCTTGGTGTGATGGAGAAGGTTGGACTGCAACACTGATGCAAAGTTAATCTGAAGAATCAACAGAGGCCACTAGCTGGAGAGGAGGCAAGGGCACCAGATGGGGAAAGATTCCAGGGAGGAATCTTTTGGTAAAGGGAGAAGGGAGACATGGGCTCTAGGAAGGTAACTTTTTGCAACATTCGGAAGCATTCTTGGTTTTGGGAGAAATATTATGGGACAAAAAAAGAGAATGGAGGAGGTAGGTGACTCTGTGGTAAAATAATATGGAAGTTGGGAAAAGTCAACATTAGTGACAATCAATGGTGTAGCCCAGGGACCCAAATCATCAGCCAGAAGAGGCTGGGCCCTCATGCCCTCTGGCTTCTCCTTTAGAAAACAGCTGTGTGAATTGTGTTTAGCATAGAGCTGTCCACTCACTCATCAGTTAATATTGCTGTCGCTCCTGCTTGTGGCTGCCGTATGAGCATTGCCATCAGAGATTCCTGCCTTCCAGCCTTTGCTGTTTAAGTAATTGCATAGTTGGTTATGCTAAGGTTGTCACCTGGTTTCAGTGTATTCAGGGTATAAACATACATTGTGTCTCTAAAATCCTGAAACATTTAAATCACCCCATGGAACTCACATGTTGCAAATGAGCTCTCTGCATATAATTAATTTGCACATTTCTCCCCAATTCAGTGTGTTTATTCCAGGCAACGGAATAATCTTCTATAAAGCACCGAAGTTTTGGTTTAAAACAATAAGATGTTGCTGCATTTGTAACAGAATGTTTGACTAAACTTGTACCACTAAGTTCCAAATGCCCAACAGGAAAAAAATGCGTATTTTTCAAGAGGTGAATTTAATAGCATAAGATGATGGATCCTTGTGGAAGTCATTAAGTATGATTTAATAGAAGCCATTAACTATGATTTAATAATTTAAAAGGATATAGAGGAGAAATCATCAGAACACTTTTGTCTCTTAAAAATATCCTTTAAATACAGTATTTTCATTCCTTTTTTCATTCATTCACCTATTTTTCTACCAAGAGTTACTGAGTTGTTATTATTGGTGAGGCACGTCCTTTGTGAGAGGCCAGGCATCTATGGTGAAGAGACAGCGGCTTGGCCACAGGGAGATCACAGTTTAACAGGAGAACTATGTGAAAAGACAATTCAATAGAGCTGGTGTTCTCAGCCTTGGCACTATTAACATTTCAGGACAGACAGGCTTTGTCATAGGAAGCTGTGTTGTGCATTATGGAATGTTTAGAACACCTCTGGCCTCTCCTCACTAGATACCGGTAAGCACGTACCCTGCCCCACCCCACTGGTTGTGATGATATGAAAGAGCTCTAGACATCACCTACCTATCCCCCAGGATGGGGTAGAATGAAATCCCTCCCCAGTGGAGAACCAATTATACTAAAGTGTGATAAAATCTATGAATATGGATCATGAGTGACTTCTTTCGGTGGCATTTCTTGAGCTGACTCGTGATGGATGAGTAGGAATTTACCATGTAGATAAGGAGAGGAAGGGCAGAATAAAAACAGCTCATGAGGAACTGGTATTGATGAAAACTGAGTCAGCTCAGTCTTGAGGGTTTTGAGGGGGACACAGTGGGACCAGTTGAAAATGGCTGTTGGAATTCATGGGGAAAATGACAAACAAAGAAGGCACAGGAGGTGAAGGGAAAGAATCTAAGAGATATTTAGGAGATAAAGTCATTCACTTATTGCATAGCTTAGGAAGCAATAAATATTTCTGGAGTACTGACTCAGTGTCAGGCACAGTAAGTGTCAGCGGCATAATGGTTCGTGAGAGGGAGAGAACCTGCCCTCAGGATATTCAGACAATCTCTGTGTAGTTAGCTGAAGAAGAATAAAGGCGGAACTTATACTGTAGGCAGCTTGGTAGACTTGGAAAGGAAAATCTAATTTGTTCGCTGCGGCACCCTTGACCGAGGGCAACTCTCATTTATCGCAGAGAGATCCTGTCACAGGTTCTGAGCTATTTATTTCAACCAAATAAACTCCTTGTAAAGCAGTGTGAAAGCCCCTTTAGAAACATTTCAAATAATCCTATTTTAATAAACTGTCTTTATGTCTGATTATTTCTTTATGTTCTTTGTCCACATGTATAGATGTTGGCTATATAACATTTAACACAGCTGCAATCATAGGGGGATCTGATTTGTTAATGTCATGGCATAAACATTTTACATGCTGTTATATAATATACATAATCATTTTTAATGACTACATAACATCTCATCCTATTGATGGGCCATTATTTCCTTAATAAAATCTCACAGTTGGATTTGGTGTTCTGTGCGTATGTTTCCCCTGACTAGACATAACCTTCTGTTATATCTAACAAACATCATGCATTTTTGAATATTGTTTGTTTTGGCTTTCTGTTGAATTAATCCCTCTGGGAGAATTTTCAAAGGTGGGATTAGTCAACTAGGGGGTATGAAGCTTTTTATGGCTTATGTAGTGTGTTGCTTCATTTAGCTTTATTTCAGCTACTCATCACATGGATATAAATGCTCACATGGGAAACTACCTTAAATCTTTTTTGAAAAGAGTCAGGGGATAAATTGTAGGTAAATGTTTTCCATCCATCAGCCCGCTTCCCATTCAGTCAAAATGATTAGCGCATATGATCACTTGTTAGAGTCACTCCTGGGTGATGGAGAGGCAGAGATGAACAAGGCTCAGTATGGTGAGGTGGGAGATGAGGGGTCACAGAAGGGCAGCCACGGGACCAAACCGATCTGCATGGGGAGTAGACGAGGCCTTCCCAAGGCAATGTGGCTTGGGCTGACCACCAGGAGACTTACTCATATTTCACCAGATCAGCCAAAGGCATTCCAGACAAACATTTGCAAAAATCTGGGGAGTTTTGCTTGGAATCTGAGAAGTATGAGTCCAGTTGCAGCATGACTATATACTAGCCTCAACCTCAACAGGGCCTTTCTTTGGGAATATGGCTCTGAGCCCCTAGGCATATGCCTAAACCAAGTTCAAAAGACTCTGTTCTGGGAGCATCAGTGGACTATCTGAGGTTAGAAAATCTTTTCTTACCTAGTTTCAGAACTATCATATTCCAGTTTTTGATTTTGTCTAATAATTGCCAAGATTTTTGAGAAATCGCAGCAATCTTATACCTTCAGCCTGTGCACACAATTACTTTCAGCTGCTCGGTAACCCAGAGAAAGACAAAGGAGCTGCTGAGTTCCTAAATGATGGTACAGCTGAGGACAGATTTCACTTCAGGAGAAAGGAGTGTTCCCTGACTCTGGGGAGACCGGGGTGAGAAGATGATAGGGAAGTGTCAGGTATTTTGAATGTGTTTCACCTTCCAGAAACTGGAGTCAGCCTTAGTTTGGGGTTTTGTAGAATGAGGTCAGGACTAAATCCTATGATTATATGGCCCATTCAAAATAAGTGTGTGCCAAGCAGTCAACAGCAGCCTGGCAGGCAGATGCTGGTCTTAAAAGACCAACTCTCCAAACATTTGGTAGTTGAGCATCTTCCAGAGTGCTAATTAGAAAGTTCTGTTCCCTAAGCATGGGGGCTTGTTTCTTTGCTACAGTTTTACTTTCCACCCTTTGGTGATTGATTCTCTGTATGTACCTCCTCTCATTCAGAATTAGGGCATATTTACTATCAATTTTCCAGTATCTGCAACCATTCGAATGCTACTTCTCAATTTTTTTTCCATATCTGTATAAAATCTATACCATTTATAATTGTTTTTCTTCAATGGACTTTTAAAAGCATATATGCATTTTTTTAACAAGGAAGCATTATTCACATAGTCATATATCACATGCCATACATAAAAGGTAACCTAAAAATGAATGCAGTCAAAACAAAACTATGTCATTGTATTCTCAGCTAGAGAATTGCATCATAGTCTCTCAAAAGGGAGATTAGGAAGCATAACAGGTTTGTTAAAAATCAGCACTTACTGAGATATTCTCCTTGATGTGTTTGGGAATGGAAGAATTAGAAAAGGAATAATAGTGTCAATTAGTAAGTTAATGCCATTCAACAAATCCATCCACTGAAATTACCCATAAACCACCTTAAGTCATCGTACAGGCCACTGCTAGGAAGGGTCCCAGACTTAGGGAAATGCTACATGGTCAGATATCTTAAAAATGTCACTATCAGTATGATTAAGCCAGATGTGTATGTGTGGTGGGGGGTGTGGGGGGGTGTGGGTAGGGGAGAAGTCAACAGGTCCTATTTTTATTCTTTGGCTGAAATTCAGTGGGTATTTTTATTTTTATTACCAAGTACTTTACAGAATGGGCAACAGTATTTATTTTCGTGGTGTTTTAGTTCCTTTCCTTACATGATTTTGAGTGACTGATTCGGGCAGCCATAGTGTTGTTCTATAGAAAAGGTTCATTTTAGGTGATGTCGTGTTTCTGTATGTGTTGTCTCCTAGAATAACTAACCCATTAAGCACATTCCAAATTTCAGCAATCGATTTGTCTGAATTTCTGACCAAATGGCTCAGGTAATTGGGTATTGAATAGACGCTGATTTTCTGTCTTTGAGGAACTATTCACTCTGCCCTATAAAAAAAAAATATAGCCAGTGTTTCTCCTCCATTATCCTTTCAAGGAACTGGCTGTCAATCTTCTCTTTCTTCTTGCCAGCCTGTAGATTTTGAAACCAAAAGAGCGTACAGCTTGAAGGTGGAGGCAGCCAATGTGCACATCGACCCGAAGTTCATCAGCAACGGGCCTTTCAAGGACACTGTGACCATCAAGATCGCAGTGGAAGATGCTGATGAGCCCCCCATGTTCTTGGCCCCAAGTTATATCCATGAAGTCCAAGAAAATGCAGCCGCTGGCACGGTGGTTGGGAGAGTGCATGCCAAAGATCCTGATGCTGCCAACAGCCCAGTAAGGTACAGACAGATTTATTTTAAAAGCCTAGATGGTAAATTTTAGAGGCAGGAGGTTTTAGGAAAGCTCTGCAGGAAGCACATCCTTCCTTTAAAAAGGATCTAGGATGACCAGGTTCAATGCCATGTAAACAAGATTAAGATTTTGAGGGCATGAGTTCTACTCCACCTCTGACCCTGATTTTTTGGATAGGCTTGTTCGATTTCAGAATCTTTCTCTGGAGCAGATTTCCTGGAGTAGAGGTGGTGATGTAACCCTTAGCTGGACTTGTCTGTCTCAGGGAACTGTGGTGAAGTATAACTCATGATTGTGAAATAATTAGGTAATTATAATTTGTTGAACACCTTCTTATGCTCCAGTTATTCTACTAAGTGCTTTAGTTGTAGGTTCTAATTTATTTCATAGGAATAGTCATCCCTTCAGTTGAGAGGAAAGTGGGGCCTCTGCACAGGAAAGAGATTTTCCCAGAGCAACACAGCCTGTGGACAGGAGGCCAGGAAAGCAAGCTCTGTCTGTCTGATGGCTGCAGAGCACTTTGAGGAGATAACAAAGGGCGACACAAAGTTAGGGGCTTTTATTATTATGAGTGTATTTTTGTGACTAAGAGCGATTCAGAACCCTGCCTCCGCACTTCTCCCAACCTGAGTTAGTGTCCAGGGAGGCTGATGAAGAAAATGGGAGGCTGAGGAGAAGGCTGCAGTCAGAGATTCGAGCCATGTGCAGGGCAGAAACGTGCTGCTGTCTGAAACCTGCCCTGGACTGGCTTCTGGCAAGTGCTTGTTTTTCCATAGTCACTCCCTGAATCCCTTTCTTGCCTGGATTCCTTCCTCTGCCTCCTCATGGCCTCCCTGCCTTCAGTCTCCCATCTACCTTTCTATCATCCTATAGCCAGGCTGATCTTTTTAAAATTCACATCCAAACATCACATCATACTGCAGTTAAATGTCGACCAAAAAAAAAGAGCAATGACCGAATCATTTCCTTACCGCCCCTCCCCAATAATCCCAACTGTCTTACTTAGTTTAAGCCTCTTCTTCAAACGCCAATTCCCACGGTGCCCTGCTGCTCTCTTCCACTTCCTGTCTTACTCTCCATTTGCATCAGACTCGCAGTTGCAGCTACACAGTGCTAATGCCTGCTTTGAAGTAGAACTTGCTCTCCTCTAATTCCTGATCTTTACATGTTCTCCTCCTGCTTGGAGCTCTCTCCCTCTTTCTTTCCATCTTGTTACATGACACCCATTTTTCCCACCTCCACTTAGGTGTCATCTCCTCTAGGAATTCTTCCAAGGTGCCATGGGTCAGCTGCAGCTTCGCCTCATAGCACTCACTACGCTGTGTCACAGTGACGCCTCATGTGGTGTGTTGTCCTGGGCACACTCTGAGAGGGCCAAGGACATGTCTGTGTTGATCAGGGGTTGATAAACTAGAGCCCACAGAACAAATCCAGCCACCATCTGCATTTTGAGGAATCTTTATATTGTTTTCCTTAATGGCTTTATCTTGAAGAACTGTCTTTACCCCCATGTTCATTGCAACATTGTTCACTGTAGCCAACATATGCAAACTGTCTAGGTGTCCACTGACAGATGAATAGATAAAGAAATTATGCTGTGTATCTACAAAGGAATATTATTTAGCCTTAAGAAAGAAGGAAATTCTGCCGTTTGTGATGTCAGGGATGAATTTGGAGGACATTATGCTAAATGAATTAAGCCAGATACAGAAAGACAAATATAGCACGATATCACTTATTTTGTGGAATCTAAAAAAGTCAAACTTAAAGAAATAGAGAGTAGGACAGTGGTTGCCAGGGACTAGGGGATGGGAAAAATGGGGAGATGTCAGTGAGAGGCTATAACTTTCAGTTATAAAATGAATAAGTTCTAGAGATCTAATGTACAACATGGTAACTATAGTTAATAATAATATATTGTATACTTGAAATTTTCTAAGAGTAAATCTTCAGTGTTCTTTCCACACACACACACACAAAATGGTAACTATATGAGGTGATGAATATGTTAATTAGCCTTATCATTGTAATCATTACACACAAGATATACTTATAGCAAAACACTACATTATGCACATTAAATACAGACAGATTTTTATTTGCCAATCATACCTCAAGAAAGCCAGGGGGAAAGTAAACAGATTTGAGTATGAAAAAAATTTCCATGGACGTTGGAGTTTTTCGATTTATACCAAAGAAAATGATGACAGGGCAGAAGGAAGTCCCAGATGTAAATGTTGTTTAGATGCCTTTAAATCTTTGAATCTTCTCCCTTTGGGGAGAAAGGAAGAGAATTACCCTTTATTGAGTATCTTCTCAGCCCAGACATGTTGCATTGTTAGGTAAGTTAACCCTCTAACACTCTTTGACACTATGGCTGTTTTAGGGTCCAAGAAATGGAAATACTGAGGCTCAAAGGGGTGACATGAATTCTTAGGGTCACATGGCCAGTCAGTACTGGAGACCAGATTTTAGTGTAGATCTACCTTGAGTCCATTCTGAGCTTTGTACTCTAGCCAAGCAGCTGCTAATGAAAAGATTACCTGAGAAGGTTGGAGTACTGTGTTCTCTTGTCCAGGAAGATACATTACATAATGACTAAGGATCATTGTAACACCTTTAAACTACTCAAAAATGTTCAAGGTGTGACTTTTAGATGAGTTAGCTTTAACCTAAAATCTTGAGATGCATTAGCACCATTTTAGAAGAGGGGTGATGAAAAAACAGCTCATTTCCTCTGCCATCTCATTGTCTCCAAGGAACCACATCTGCAATTGTTTATTTGGGTCATGTTTGCAATGGTAGCTGTTCTGATCATGCAGACAATTTCCGTGTCTGTGATTATCCAAAGATGCTCAGTACTGCCCTTGAACTAACCCCCTCACCCACTCAGGTCTCATAGACTTGCCAAACAAATTGTAGAACATTCCAAGCTTTTTATTCCATGGGCCTCTGTATCTCCAGGAGTAAGGTGGTTCCTCGTCCAGGACAAGTTCATTAAAAGTCCGATGAAACTGAACGGCAGGGCAGGCTGGAAGGAAGGGTTGTATTGCTCACAGCTCAGTCTCCCATTGGCTCCTCTAGCTGGCCCCTGTTCTGTCCCTGCTGCCAAGGCACATGCTCACTTCCTCTGCCCGCCCCTTCCAGGAGGAACTCACTGAAGGTTCCCTGGGGACTGGCAGGCACCAGACCAATTAAGTACCAGGAATGGAGGGGAGGAGAGAACGGCTCTTTTCTCCCCACCCCTTGCCCACGTGTGGCTCTGCCATGGCCCATTGATATACAAATGGGCCCTTATCCTCAGACCACTATGAAAGCCAGGCAGAAATTCTGTGTGAAAACCTCCATGTACCCCACAGCCTCCTTTCCATACTACCTACTTTCCTGATGCCTCATTTTCACCTTTAGGGGAATTTGTGCCCTTAGACATGTGGGGAAGGCCTTATAGTGTCAACCTAACTCTTAGCTGCTTGGAAATTTTGCAGATCTTTCTTCTTATAGTCTGTAGCATTAGACACACTTTTATTTACCATCCCCTTCCTGAAATATTCTCTCCTCATTGCTTACTTGAAATAACCTCTTCACGCCTCAGATAGCACTGTAGGTCTTCACCAGTCTCTGATCACTGTCCCAGCACTGGGGGCCCCCTAAGACTCAGCCCTTTGACTTTGACCTCTCTCTTTCTCTATGCAGTCATCTATAGAGCAAACCCCCCATGCGCCCACCCCTGCACCACCCACCATGCCATGACTGGTTTGCATGAATACTCTAGATTCTCTGTCACTGGGCTGATCTTTCTCCCTGATTCTGCTCTGTTCTTCTGCTGTTAGCTCTACATTTTCATATGCTTTCTTTCTCTTTTCCTGGCTCACTCACTCATTCAAAACATATTTTTGAACTCATACTTATTGTGACATACTTAAAACAAAACTTGACTCCACACCTGGCTCTGTGAAACCTACAATAGGGTTTACTCTTTGCTCTCTTAGCATGGTAGCATATCCCTGGTGGAATTTCAACCTCTCCTTCCTACTAAGTTGGCTTTGTTTTTGTGTCTCCCAATGTGTCCCTCTCTCCAACACTCAAGTGAGAAACTCTCCAGGACTCTCCCAGCCTCCCACAGATATGCAAATATTAACTGAGACCAACTGATGCTCTCTTCATCATATAGTCTGCCCTTCCCTTTGTTCTGTTCTCACTTGCTTAGGCCATCTTGCCCACCCTACCTTATTAATCATGATGATCACCATATTCCTTTGATCAGAAACTTCCAGTGGTTTCTCAGTGGCTACAGAATGAAGGTCATAGTCTGTAGACTGACATTTGAAAGCTTCCCTAATCTTCTAATACAGTGTTATAGCCGCAGCAACAAAAATAACAACAGCCACCACTTGTTGCACTGCTTATTGTGTGTAATGCACTAGGTTATGTAGCTTAAACATCTACTATTTCATGTAATTATCAGAGATAACCAAAAAGTTAAGAACTATTGATACTCCAGTTTAAAGATAAGTAAGCTAAGATTCAAATCACTTAACTGGCTTTTCCAATGTCAGCCATGTCTTGGAGCATGATCTTGTGTGTAGGACATCACAGACTCAGATCCATACCCTTTACCTCTACAGAATATTGCTTTGAATTGCTAGTTATCTTTCTTCCTGAGAGTGTGTTTTGTCATGTCAACTAGCTACTAAACTGCCCGGTGGCAGCAAAAAAATACTCTCTTCTTCTCCTTCTCACAGCAGGCTATGTGCTGAGGGCTCGGTACTGAGTCTCTACTCACCCGCATTAGGTGTGTGATGGTTTATCTTCATTCTCCTCTCTGGGGAAGGGGACTCATCATTCCATTCCCACCAGGAGCTGGGAAGTCAGATGATACCACCGATGAGCTCATGTTCTCTAGAATGTGAAGCATGCTCCACGTGTCATCCCTCTTTCTTGGAAAGAGCATACTCTAGAATCGGGAGATCTGGGTTCTGATCCTGGCTCCCCCAGAAATTAGATAATAGATCATTTGCAAATCTCATCATGTGTAAATTGAAGAGATTAAATCCTGTGATGTCCATGGGCTTTTCTACATTTAATATTCTTTGGTTTTATGACCTTCGGTGAATGCCTTCTGACGTATGTATTCTGTAAACTTTGTGAAAACACAGCTCAGCCCTTTAAACGCAGGAAACCCTCCAGTTATGAAGCGCAGCATGTAACCTGAGTAACATAACCATCTTTGCTCTTCTCCATTTTGGGGTCAGTGTCGGGGAGTGAACAGACAAAGGGCTTTGGAGTTCGGCAGCCTCCCTGAAGCAGGATTCCAATGCTCACAGCTCTGAGTATCCTGGGCAAGCTGTTACCTTACCGCCCGTACTCGATAAAGGCCATTCTTCTTGCTCTATCTCCGACCTCATCTTGCCATAAATATATGCCAATCAAATTCTGGGAATTATTTTATCTTGTTAGAAAAAAGTAAATTTTCTAGTGGACAGAAGTAGCTAAAACCTTCCAGCTGTGCTGTTAGGCACAGCCCGGAGTCATTAAGTGTGAGAAGAATGCTCTATAAATGAATAGCCAAGCCTGCTTTGCATATGTCACTGTGGAATTCAGGCAACCTGAAAACCCCTAAAACCAAATAAATTAACTAAATAAATTCACATGAAACAGAGTTAATTTTTTTTTAAATAAGGAAAAAACTGACTTTTTAGGTCCATAAATGATCCTTGATGATAAATTTAGATAAGCTTGAAACTACTTAATATTTCATATGCAAAACTCTGGCAAAGGTTTGATCCATTTGTGACTTTTTAAGTAGTTTGGGAGCAAGGCAAACCCACTTCCTAAATATATGCAATTTCATAACTATTCAGATGGTAGGTGATGGTAGTAAATATGGAGAAATATGCAACATGTTATTACCCTTCTCAATCAAATATGCTAACCAACTCTTTCATTGTACTGAATAAAGAATTCCAACATGGCAAAATGATTTCTATAAAAGATTCATGTATGAAGTTTAAAAACTAAATTTGATTACAAAAGAAACCTAGCTAAAGCAATTCATTGAAAAAGTTACCTTAAATATGGCATAGAGAAAAAAATATTCAAATATTAAGTGGCTCAGGTGGGATGTCTCGGTTAATTGCCTCATTTGCATTCTGCTTAGGTATTCAATCGATCGTCATACTGACCTCGACAGGTTTTTCACTATTAATCCAGAGGACGGCTTTATTAAAACTACAAAACCTTTGGATAGAGAGGAAACCGCCTGGCTCAACATATCCGTTTTTGCAGCAGAAATCCGTAAGTACTCTCTAAGGGTTTTGATTCCACTTGACCAAATATTATTCTTTCAGACTCTGTATATCCTGGAAAATGACAGACAGCTAAGACAGAATACATTTTTTCATCTTAAATATATTTTTCAATCTTTAACATTTATTTTTAGTCATCTATCTAGGAAGACATATAAGCAAATAGAGATGTTTTCATTTTCTCTGGCAGAACTGGGTACAGACTTGGCAAGTGAGCTGATGGTGCTTGACTAAGTTGAAACTTACAACCATCGCTGAAGGATTCCCCCACTTTATCCTGCCACACAGTTTTATTTAAACCCAGAGCAGCAGCATCTCGAGAGCCAAGATCTGTGGGTTCTTGTTTACCTGTAGACCGGTGGTTCTCAAACTTGATCTGCAATGGAATAACAAGGAGAGTTTGTTATAAAAGATATCTGGATCACACCCTCAGAGCTTCTTCTCAGTAGCTCTAGGGTGAGACCTGAGAATTTTCATTTCCAACAAGTGTGGACCCCCTTTGAAAACTGCTGCTATGGACTATAGTCTGGGGGAAGTAGGCTCCATTATAAGCATCTGGAAGTAAGCCTCAGCATCAGGACCAGCAGAAAGGGAATACTAGCGTGGTTCTTTCTGGTCTAGTATTGACACTTCCAGGACATGCCCCTCACACTGGGCCTAGCAGACTTCAGATGAGTTTTTGCCAGCAGTGCCTCTCCCTGCAGCACTGAGATGAGTAGCTGGAGCTCACTCTTTCGCAAGAGTGACCTTAGACCAGTTGGATTCCACCCTGGCATTTACTGTCTGTATTCTCTCCTTTCAGACAACCGGCATCAGGAAGCCAAAGTCCCAGTGGCCATCAGGGTCCTTGACGTCAATGATAATGCTCCCAAGTTTGCTGCCCCTTATGAAGGTTTCATCTGTGAGAGTGACCAGGCCAAGCCACTCTCTAACCAGGTAACATGCTTTCTCCTTCCCTGGTGATGAGCAAGGCATTTGGAAAGAGAATTTGGTTTTGAGCCTCACCTGGAGATACACCCACTGCCCCAGAAGCCTTCAGACCCCTCGTGCAGCTCTGGAGCCATGTTCTCTAATTAAAACTGGGCTTCTTAGCCAGCCAGGAATTTTTTAATAAATGATATGCCAATGTCAGCATGATTTATTTATGGGCCACCTTTCTCTTTCAGCCAATTGTTACAATTAGTGCAGATGACAAGGATGACACAGCCAATGGACCAAGATTTATCTTCAGTCTACCCCCTGAAATCATTCACAATCCCAATTTCACAGTCAGAGACAACAGAGGTTCGTACCAAGGTTCCTATGCATTCAGAGAAGTAGTGGAAAATAAATGGCTTTTATATATTGCAGAGCACAACTATTTTCCCTAATCTTAATAATGCCTTTCTGTTTGAAGAGCCAATAAGAAATAATAATGCCACCTTTTTGAGAAGTGGGCTCATTTGGTGCATATGAATAGGGAGTCTAATTTTATTTTACATATTTCTTTGTTGCCTTTGATATTCATGAAGCGGTGGGAAAACCAAACGGGAACGGGGAAGCTTTACAGGGTCAATATGCAAACAACTTCATTTATCTTTTTTTTAATAAGTTGATAAATCCTTGGGTGGAAGTTTGGCTTTATGAATATTGATATCAAGTAAAACATTAAAAGAGGTTAGATCAACTTTGTAAGGCAATGTAGATTTTCAGCTGGCCTTCCCTTCCAAGGCCACCCAACCAAGAGTGATGCAATGTGGTTGAATACAGAGCTTGATACCTAAAGGTGGTTGCAGAATTATTGCTTGAAGGGCATGAAGAAAACATTGACCACTGTAAACATGGCAAAATTTAGTACAATTTCTACTATTCATTGCATCAGTCACAGAGATTCTGGACTTGCAGATTATTTGAAGAAGTTGTTTCTGTAGTACAAGCCCAGACTGATGCAGTTACTGACAAACTTGGTAGCAGGGCCAGGATCAGAAAATAAGTTTCTTGACTCCCGGCCAGGCTATTTTGGTCTGCGTCTGTTCCTATTAACTTGTGACAATGCAGGTCAGTACAAACAGGTAACTAAATGCCATCATTTGACTTAGGACTAGAAGGTGGTCCTCCTGAGTACATATGTTTTCATTAGCCACGTGCCAGAACTGTGACCATTTCGAACTGATGGGGATCTTAGCCCCCAAGATCTCTGTGACCAAGATCAGGTTTCTAGGACCCTAAATTAATCTAGTAAGTGTCCATCCTTTAGCCCTATCACCACCATCGTTATCATCAATATCATAAATAGAGTAGCTATGTTCCAAACTCCCTGCCAAATCCTTGCCATATCTATCCACTTAATTCTCTCAACAAACTATAGGTAAAGGTTACTGTTATCATTGCCATTTGAAAGATGAGGAAATTGAGGCATAGGATCATTGAGCAACTTGTTCAAAGTCATTCAGCTACATGGAATTCAGACCTGGTTTTTAAATTCCAGAAGACAGGAGCTAGAGGTTTCAGCCTTAACCACTGCCCCCTTCTGGACTGATTGTTAAAATAGACAGGTGTTCCCTGTGGTACTTGGAATCGGGAGAATATGATCCGACATGCTTTGTTATTGTCCTTGAACTCATTTGAGCATTTAATTATTGCCCTTATTAATCAAGCATGTATCAAATGAGATCGTGGGCTGAAATTTCCAGATGCTATGACAGAGCTTTTCTCTCTTAATGCCTCGCTTTTGGCATCGGACCTGATCTTGAGAGGCTGCATGTGAAGGAAGCTACACGGAGGGACATGTGTTTTTCAAAAGGACCCTGCAGAGCGCCCTGTGAATCACTGTGCCCATGATCCCCATCAGTTCGAAATAGAAACACTACTTGGTGCTCTTTATTGCCTAGGACTTTTCTCTTACTGTTAGCTGTGGTTGATGTTCACGTGTGAGCACTGTAAGCCCCTTGGAGGGAATTCCGCAGAGCATGGAGATAGACGAATAGTTCTTAATCTTGCAGGCCTACCTCTGGTGGTACCTGAAGATAATATAGGAATTTCCTTCCTTAAAAGTAGATTTCTCCAAAGCGGGGAGACCCTGGCATATAGTGGGCATTTAATAAATGCTTATCCAGCTGAATTGAACAAGATGGCATAAACAGTGTCCTCATGATACTTTCTAACATATTTATCTGAGTTCACGAGAATCCTTGCTCCTGCCCTTAGAATTTTCTTGATTCCCAAAGTATTTTCTGACCCCACCCTGGGATGATGGATTGCTACAGTTTTACAGCTTTTAGACTAATGTCAGTTTATGATAATGAAGATATTTATAACAAAAGATTTCAGCATCTTTTAATTTTATCCATAGTGAAGTGATCGACTCGGTTGTCCAGAAAATTGTTCTAAGATGCTTCTTGTACTGCCACCTCTGTTACTATCTGTTTACTCAAATATTTGTGGTCAGACTTTTATCTGTGTGTTCCTATAATCATCAGCTTACATTTGAGGTCTCGCGCCTGGATGTATTCCCAGCAGCATCGCTGTTTATTGCTGGACACCTCCTGGCACTTTCTTACTGTGCTAATGTCGCCTCCATCATCACCTGCCTTGTCTTCTTTCTTTTCACATGTGCAATACTCTTTAGTTGCTGTTAACCCTCTGAAAACATTATACTAAGCTGTATTGTTCTCCAGGGAGTTATAAGTATTTCACTTTGTCACAGTACTTCAAGGATGCCATTTATATTTTCAAGGAGATTTTATTACTATGGACAAGTCAACCTACTGCACAATCTGTCTCCCCTGCTCTTTCCTCTAGGAGATTATTCCTACGTGCAGCTACCACTTTCCCAGGAAATTGCTACTTTTTAAGAAAAATGACTTTATTAACTATGGCAAACAGTTAATGAAACTCCCATGTTTAGAGCTATTACAAAATCTTAAAGCAAATACACTCCTACAATTATCATTTAATAGAGTTTCTTTCTACTAGCTCCTAAAAGTAATTACATGTTGAAGTAATCCAAAAGTAGTAATCACATTCCACATCCTATTAATAGCCTACTGAGTTACCAAATTTCTCGGCTGAGACTGTTTTCCATAGAAAACATGAGATAATAGTTCATATCATGCTGAGTAAAATCATCAAGTCTCTTTCTCCTTGAGTGTTTTCTTCCATTATGCCAACTAAATGATCAGGGCTGTGTTTGCCTAAACTCGTCATACACATTCGGCATCTTTCGAAATATGAGAAGAGACGCTATCTTAATACACACACGCCTTTGATTTCTGTTTGCCTTACTTCGTTCTATAGCCAAGCTTCAAAGATCATTCAGCAGGCAGCAGAAACGCAGAATACTGTGTGACTCTTGAACAGTTAAGTCCATCTTGAGCTATTGATATCAAGAATGGTACTGTTGCGGCAGATGAAAAACTGATCTGCCAGGATTAGAGATGCATTTCCTTTGAATATATCAGACTTACAGCATCTCTGAAAACACAAGACACATGTAGTGGGTGAGAAAAGGGCCAAGGAAAAAAACAGTACTGGGAATACTGCCCATCTATCTTGCTTTGCTTTTCATTAATTTAGTAAACCTTCTCATGACGATTTTTTTTTTCATTTAATTTCTCAAACAGTGCTATGAGTTAGGCATGTTGAACATTTCCTTTTATCCCCATCTTTTAGAATGG